ACCCATAAAACATATCCAATAAGTTATTTTAATCCACCGATCAGCAGTACCAACCCAACCCAAGAAAAATAGAAATTTTGACGTTTTCAACAATTACCCTGAATAACTTAATAATTATAACCGATAGAAAAAAACATTTCATACAAAAAAGGTTTAGAATTAACCCATAAAACATATGCAATAAATTATTTTAATCCATCGATCAGCAGTACCAACCCAACCCAAGAAAAATACAAATTTTGACGTTTTCAACAATTTTCTTTTATAACTCATTAGATATATCTGATGGAAAAAACTTTTCGTACAAGAAAGATTTAGATTTAACCCATAAAATATATTCAGTAAGTTATTTTAATCCACCGATCAGCAGTACCAACCCAACCCAAGAAAAATAGAAATTTTGACGTTTTCAAGAATTACCCTGAATAACTCAATAATTATAACCGATGGAAAGAAACGTTTCATACAAAAAAGGTTTAGAATGAACCCATAAAACATATCCTATAAGTTATTTTAATCCACCGATAGTAGTACCAACACAAATACGAAATAACCCAGATATGAAATATAAATTTAAAAAAATTGTATCTCAAAAACAAAATGAGATATCGTCATGAAACAAAAAGCAATTTAAAGCAAATTTGTTTAGTATTTAATACGTTGAAGATCATTTCTTCGAAACTTCAAATTTCGGAATTATGATTTTTTGATTGCAACCTTAAACATAAATGTTAGGGGCAATTAATCTTTTCGTATCTAAAAAACCTATTGAGATATCGTTATGAAACAAAAACCAGTTTATAGCAAATTTAATAATTTCTTAGTGTTCATAAATATCGTTGTTGTGATTTTTTTAATCCAACTCTGCATGTTTCATTGTTAAAAAATTGAAAATGTGAGTACTTCGTTACGGTTTTCTTTAAAGAAGAATTTAATGTCGTTTATCTACCTTAACACCCTGTATATTATAATAACCATAATAATGAATGTATTTATAATAATCATACATTTTAATTTTTTATTTATATATTTATGTATATTTTTATGTATATTTTATAATAATAATAATAATGGCGATATGATTTTTCAATTTTCCCATTCTTTTTACAAGTAAAAAAGCGTTATTATTATATTTTCATTTTTTTTTTTTTCATTAATAATATTTTAATATTTATATTAAAAACGTTTAACGATATCATGTTAATTTCTTTAACTCATTTTATTTTAATCCACCCCTGAATAATAAATCTCGAGGAAAGTTTATGAACACTTCATTTCTAAGTATGTATAGCTTTCTTTTTTTTGTTCAAAACGCGTTTTAGAAGAATTTTTAAATCGATTAACTTTTATGTTATCCTGTAAAGATCGATTTTCCTTAATAATAATAAATTTAATTAATATCAATTCCTATTTGATCTTAATAAAAATAAAATTAAAAAAAAAATAAATAAATAAATACCTCAAAATCTTCGTTTTTTCCGTTCATTCCTTTTTTCTTTCGTTCTTTACAGAATAAAAATTCAAAATAATAATCCTAACGTTTAGGTTAAGGTAACTTATAGGTTATTTTCCCCCCAAACCAAACTTCATAAATATTAGTTCTTTCCCTTTCGATAAAATATCGCCACCAGGTGCGGTAATCTCATTCAATTTTTGCATTAAATTCGGCCCGGCTTGTTGTTGTTGTTGCTGTTGTTGTTGTTGATTCATCGTCATCGGTTGATTCATCGTTGGAATGACTTGTGGCACCCCTTTATGTTGGATGCGATTCGACGTTGTACTTGAATTAACCCCAAATTGTTGTTGCTGCTGTTGTTGGGGTTGTTGTTGTTGATTTCCCGTTAAATTAGAAAACGGAGTGTTTTGACCAAACAATTGGCTCGTTAACGATTGGGAAACTTGATTCGATTGGGCGTTGAATTGCGGTTGATTAAATTGGGAGTTTTGTTGTCCGAATTGCTGTTGTTGTTGGTTAAATTGTTGGTTTTGTTGGTTCATCGCGTTGATGTTTTGTTGTTGGGGTTGTTGCGTTTGTTGCGGGTTCATGTTACCACCTCTCGTTTGCTTCGGTCTCCCCTAAATTAAATCACAAAATTAATTTTAGTTTAATTTGTTGGTTAATTTTTTTATTAATTAATTTTCTTTTTGGTTTTATCTTTTTTGATTTGATTCTTTTTAAGTGCATGCAACATAGATAGGGACACAAACCACTTGAAAATAAGAGAAATTATTGAAAATAATATAAAATATAAGTAGGGCATAGACGTACAACATTTAATCCAAAAATTAAATACTAGACACACAGTTTTAAGGTATTTTTAGTTGAATATAATATATATTTTTGTTCCAAACTGTTTTTATGGTGCATTGAAAATAATTATGAATTTGTTAATATGATAACGAAGAGGTTGGACCAAGAAAGAGTCCACGCCAACCCTGCCCATCTGACCATCTTCAACGGAATCATATGAAGATAATAAAAATGTACGCGCAGAAAGGTTCAGAACTCTTGAATTCAATAATTATAACCGATGGAAAAAAACATTTCGTACAAAAAAGGTTTAGAATTAACTCATAAAACATATCCAATAAGTTATTTTAATCCACCGATCAGCAGTACCAATCCAACCCATGAAAAATAGAAATTTTGACGTTTTCAACAATTACCTTTTATAACTTAATAATTATAACTGNGCGGTTGATTAAATTGGGAGTTTTGTTGTCCGAATTGCTGTTGTTGTTGGTTAAATTGTTGGTTTTGTTGGTTCATCGCGTTGATGTTTTGTTGTTGGGGTTGTTGCGTTTGTTGCGGGTTCATGTTACCACCTCTCGTTTGCTTCGGTCTCCCCTAAATTAAATCACAAAATTAATTTTAGTTTAATTTGTTGGTTAATTTTTTTATTAATTAATTTTCTTTTTGGTTTTATCTTTTTTGATTTGATTCTTTTTAAGTGCATGCAACATAGATAGGGACACAAACCACTTGAAAATAAGAGAAATTATTGAAAATAATATAAAATATAAGTAGGGCATAGACGTACAACATTTAATCCAAAAATTAAATACTAGACACACAGTTTTAAGGTATTTTTAGTTGAATATAATATATATTTTTGTTCCAAACTGTTTTTATGGTGCATTGAAAATAATTATGAATTTGTTAATATGATAACGAAGAGGTTGGACCAAGAAAGAGTCCACGCCAACCCTGCCCATCTGACCATCTTCAACGGAATCATATGAAGATAATAAAAATGTACGCGCAGAAAGGTTCAGAACTCTTGAATTCAATAATTATAACCGATGGAAAAAAACATTTCGTACAAAAAAGGTTTAGAATTAACTCATAAAACATATCCAATAAGTTATTTTAATCCACCGATCAGCAGTACCAACTTAACCCAAGAAAAATAGAAATTTTAACGTTTTCAACAATTACCCTGTATAATTCAATAATTATAACCGATGGAAAAAACATTTCATACAAAAAAGATTTAGATTTAACCCATAAAACATATCCAATTAGTTATTTTAATCTACCGATCAGCGGTACCAACTTAACCCAAGAAAAATAGAAATTTTGTCGTTTTCAACAATTACCTGTATAACTCAATAATTATAACCGATGGACAAAACATTTCATACAAAAAAGGTTTAAAATTAACCCATAAAACATATTCAATAGCTTATTTTAATCCATCGATCAGTAGTACCAACCCAACCAAAGAGGAATAGAAATTTTGACGTTTTCAACAATATTTTTTTATAACTCATTAAATATAGCTGATGGAAAAAAACTTTTCGTACAAAAAAGATTTAGATTTAACCTATAAAACATATCCAATAAGTTATTTTAATCCACCGATCAGTAGTACCAACCCAACCCAAGAAAAATAGAGATTTTGACGTTTTCAACAATTTTCTTTTATCACTCATTAATTATAACCGATGGAAAAAAATATTTCTTTCAAAAAAGGTTTAGAATTAACCCATAAAACATATCCTATAAGTAATTTTAATCCATCGATCAGCAGTACCAACTCAACCCAAGAAAAATAGAAATTTTGTCGTTTTCAACAATTAACCTGTATAACTCAATAATTATAACCAATGGAAAAAAACGTTTCATACAAAAAAGGTTTAGAATTACAGTAAAGCTCCGCTAATTCGAACACCCCCAAATCCGAATTCCCTTGTAATCCGAACAAACTTAGAAAACGTGAAATTTGCATTATGTCCCTTGCAATCCGAATTGCTAGAAGATTCGCTAATCGGAATTAACGGTCTTTTTGTGTGGCCGTTTAAACAAGTTGGAACACGTTTAGTTTTATAGTTTATAGTTACTTGTTTACGTTATACCAACCCAATTGTACTCCACTTATCCAACCTATGGATCAAAATGCAATTCGTTTAACGAAAGTGTATTACCGGAAAAGTCTCTTAGAACATGTTCTATCTATAGAGGAAGACGATATTTCCAAAGCACTGAAGAATATTTCTATTAAGGATGCTGTGTTCATGCTTGCCAATGCTTGGGACAAACTATCGGCTAATTTAATAGCAATTAAAAGTAAAACATGAGAATGCTATTAAAAGCTTCAGTACATGTATTCAATGGGCGGAGGAGAATGCAGTCGATTTAAACACCGTAACAACCCTTAGAATTCTACGGCAACGCGCCATGAAATTTAAACAAGACTGCATGCGACAAACAAAGTTGTTTGATTTTTTTAAATAAACTGTATAAAACATGTATTGCATATATTATCTAGTACAATAAATCTATAAATAAGTATTTATAAGACTTTTTTTGATAATATTTAAATATGACTTCAATAATCCGCATGCTTCCATAATCTGAATTGAGCTGGTTTTAATTGATTCGGATTAGCGAAGCTTTACTGTACCCCGTAAAACATATCCAGCAAATTATTTTAATCCATCGATTTGCAGTACCAACTCAACCCAAAAGAAATAGAAGTTTTGACGTTTTCAACAATTTTCTTTTATAACTCATTAAATAAATCTGATGGAAAAAAACTTTCCGTGCAAAAAAGATTTAGATTTAACCCATAAAACATATCCAATAAGTTATTTTAATCCACCGGTCAGCAGTACCAACCCAACCCATGAAAAATAGAAATTTTGACGTTTTCAACAATTACCTGTATAACTCAATAATTATAAACGATGGTCAAAAACGTTTCATACAAAAAACGGGTTAAAATTGATTAAATCCATGTAACCAGTGGAGAAATAAATGGTCAAGAAAACAAATAGTTTCAATGTACTTTAACTGGTTGAAAAAATTGTAGTAGTATTTAATAATTCGTCTGACTAGTTTCGCCTTACTGGCATCTTCAGAGACATCGTTAAAAAAGTGAAGTTACATCCATGTTAGCAAAAAACAATTATAAGATTGACAGATCATGTTGAAACACAAATTTCTTAAATCCGAAATATACTATAAAACTCAATTAAACCTTAAAATTATAAAGACAAGCACGTTACGGGTTAAAAATGGTTGAACTATGTCGGTGTTAAAAATGAATTCGTTTATTCATCAGTTATTTTAATCCATCGATCAGTAATACCAACCCAACCTAAGAGAAATAGAAATTTTGACATTTTCAATAATTACCTGTATAACTCAATAATTATAACCGATGGAAAAAAACATTTCATACAAAAAAGGTTTAGAATGAATCCATAAAACATATTCAATAAGTTATTTTAATCCATCGATCAGTAGTACCAACCCAACCAAAGAAAAATAGAAATTTTGACGTTTTCAACAATTACTCTGTATAAGTCAATAATTATAACTGACGGAAAAAAACTTTTCGTACCAAAAAGATTTAGATTTAACCTATAAAACATATTCAATAAGTTATTTTAATCCATCGATCAGCAGTACCAACCCAACCTCAGAAAAATAGAAATTTTGACGTTTTCAACAATTTTCTTTTATAACTCAATAATTATAAGCGATGGAAAAAAATATTTTATACAATAATGGTTTAGAATTAACCCATAAAAGATTTCCAATAAATTATTTTAATCCATCTATCAGCAGTACCAACCCAACCCAAGAAAAATAGAAATTTTGACGTTTTCAACAATTACCCTGTATAACTCAATAATTATAACCGATGGAAAAAAACGTTCAACACAAAAAAGGTTTAGAATTAACCCATAAAACATATCCAATAAGATATTTTAATCCATCAATCAGCAGTACCAACCCAACCCAAGAAAAATAGAAATTTTGACGTTTTAAACAATTACCTGTATAACTCAATAATTATAACCGATGGAAAAAAACGTTCCACACAAAAAAGGTTTAGAATTAACCCATAAAACATATCCAATAAGATATTTTAATCCATCAATCAGNACGTTTTCAACAATATTTTTTTATAACTCATTAAATATAGCTGATGGAAAAAAACTTTTCGTACAAAAAAGATTTAGATTTAACCTATAAAACATATCCAATAAGTTATTTTAATCCACCGATCAGTAGTACCAACCCAACCCAAGAAAAATAGAGATTTTGACGTTTTCAACAATTTTCTTTTATCACTCATTAATTATAACCGATGGAAAAAAATATTTCTTTCAAAAAAGGTTTAGAATTAACCCATAAAACATATCCTATAAGTAATTTTAATCCATCGATCAGCAGTACCAACTCAACCCAAGAAAAATAGAAATTTTGTCGTTTTCAACAATTAACCTGTATAACTCAATAATTATAACCAATGGAAAAAAACGTTTCATACAAAAAAGGTTTAGAATTACAGTAAAGCTCCGCTAATTCGAACACCCCCAAATCCGAATTCCCTTGTAATCCGAACAAACTTAGAAAACGTGAAATTTGCATTATGTCCCTTGCAATCCGAATTGCTAGAAGATTCGCTAATCGGAATTAACGGTCTTTTTGTGTGGCCGTTTAAACAAGTTGGAACACGTTTAGTTTTATAGTTTATAGTTACTTGATTACGTTATACCAACCCAATTGTACTCCACTTATCCAACCTATGGATCAAAATGCAATTCGTTTAACGAAAGTGTATTACCGGAAAAGTATCTTAGAACATGTTCTATCTATAGAGGAAGACGATATTTCCAAAGTACTGAAGAATATTTCTATTAAGGATGCTGTGTTCATGCTTGCCAATGCTTGGGACAAACTATCGGCTAATTTAATAGCAATTAAAAGTAAAACATGAGAATGCTATTAAAAGCTTCAGTACATGTATTCAATGGGCGGAGGAGAATGCAGTCGATTTAAACACCGTAACAACCCTTAGAATTCTACGGCAACGCGCCATGAAATTCAAACAAATATGACTGAATTTAAATATGACTTCAATAATCCGCATGCTTCCATAATCTGAATTGAGCTGGTTTTAATTGATTCGGATTAGCGAAGCTTTACTGTACCCCGTAAAACATATCCAGCAAATTATTTTAATCCATCGATTTGCAGTACCAACTCAACCCAAAAGAAATAGAAGTTTTGACGTTTTCAACAATTTTCTTTTATAACTCATTAAATAAATCTGATGGAAAAAAACTTTCCGTGCAAAAAAGATTTAGATTTAACCCATAAAACATATCCAATAAGTTATTTTAATCCACCGGTCAGCAGTACCAACCCAACCCATGAAAAATAGAAATTTTGACGTTTTCAACAATTACCTGTATAACTCAATAATTATAAACGATGGTCAAAAACGTTTCATACAAAAAACGGGTTAAAATTGATTAAATCCATGTAACCAGTGGAGAAATAAATGGTCAAGAAAACAAATAGTTTCAATGTACTTTAACTGGTTGAAAAAATTGTAGTAGTATTTAATAATTCGTCTGACTAGTTTCGCCTTACTGGCATCTTCAGAGACATCGTTAAAAAAGTGAAGTTACATCCATGTTAGCAAAAAACAATTATAAGATTGACAGATCATGTTGAAACACAAATTTCTTAAATCCGAAATATACTATAAAACTCAATTAAACCTTAAAATTATAAAGACAAGCACGTTACGGGTTAAAAATGGTTGAACTATGTCGGTGTTAAAAATGAATTCGTTTATTCATCAGTTATTTTAATCCATCGATCAGTAATACCAACCCAACCTAAGAGAAATAGAAATTTTGACATTTTCAATAATTACCTGTATAACTCAATAATTATAACCGATGGAAAAAAACATTTCATACAAAAAAGGTTTAGAATGAATCCATAAAACATATTCAATAAGTTATTTTAATCCATCAATCAGTAGTACCAACCCAACAGAAGAAAAATAGAAATTTTGACGTTTTCAACAATTACCTGTATAACTCAATAAATATATCTGACTGAAAAAAACTTTTCGTACAAAAAAGATTTAGATTTAACCTATAAAACATATTCAATAAGTTATTTTAATCCATCGATCAGCAGTACCAACCCAACCTCAGAAAAATAGAAATTTTGACGTTTTCAACAATTTTCTTTTATAACTCAATAATTATAAGCGATGGAAAAAAATATTTTATACAATAATGGTTTAGAATTAACCCATAAAACATACCCAATAAGTTATTTTAATCCACCGATCAGTAGTACCAACCCAACTCAAGAAAAATAGAAATTTTGACGTTTTAAACAATTACCTGTATAACTCAATAATTATAACCGATGGAAAAAAATATTTCATACAAAAAAGGTTTAGAATTAACCCATAAAACATATCCAATAAGTTATTTTAATCCACCGATCAGTATTACCAACCCAACCCAAGAAAAATAGAAATTTTGACGTTTTCAACAATTACCCCTGTATAACTCAATAATTATAACCGATGGAAAAAAACGTTCCACACAAAAAAGGTTTAGAATTAACCCATAAAACATGTCCAATAAGATATTTTAATCCAGCAAACAGCAGTACCAACCCAACCTAAGAAAAATGGAAATTTTGACGTTTTCAACAATTTTCTTTTATAACTCATTATATATGTCTGATGGAAAAAAACTTATCGTACAAAAAAGATTTAGATTTAACCTATAAAACATATCCAATAAGTTATTTTAATCCACCGATCAGTAGTACCAACCCAACCCAAGAAAAATAGAAATTTTGATGTTTTCAACAATTACCCCTGTATAACTCAATAATTATAACCGATGGAAAAAAACGTTTCACACAAAAAAGGTTTAGAATTAACCCATAAAACATGTCCAATAAGATATTTTAATCCAGCAAACAGCAGTACCAACCCAACTTATGAAAAATAGAAATTTTGACGTTTTCAACAATTTTTTTTTATAACTCATTAAACATGTCTGATGGGAAAAAACTTTTCGTACAAAAAACATTTAGACTTAACCTATAAAACGTATCCAATACGTTATTTTAATCCATCGATCAGCAGTACCAATTCAACCCAAGAAAAATAGAAATTTTGTCGTTTTCAACAATTACCCTGTATAACTCAATAATTATAACCGATAGAAAAAAATATTTTATACAAAAATGGTTTAGAATTAACCCATAAAACATATCCAATAAGTTATTTTAATCCATCGATCAGCAGTACCAACCCAACCTAAGAAAAATTGAAACTTTGACGTTATTAACAGTTTTCCTGTCAACTCAATTATTATAATTCATGGAAAAAAATATTTCTTACAAAAAAGGTTTAGAATTAATCCAGAAAACATATCCAATGAATTATTTTAATCCATCGATAAGTGGTACCAACCCAACCCACGAAAAATAGAATTTCCAGTATTCAGAAGATGATTACAGCATCAAGTTTTAGGGTATAATGCCCATAATGATTGGTTTCAGTATTTAGAAGTTAAATACTGCATCCGTAGTAATTATTTTCAGCACTCGGTGGTTGATTTCAGTATCCAATGCCTCATTCCAGTATTCAGAAGATGATTCCAGCATCAAGTTACAGTGTGCAATGTCCATAGTGATTAATTTTAGTATCTAGAAGTTAAATGCAGTATTCTTAGTACTTCTTTGTTTCATCCTCTCTTTTAATATCATTACCATCACTTTCCTCACATCCCACAACACACATAGTGTGTAATTGAGACAAATTAGTCCAACTAAAATCGACCAAAATCGAATTGTATCGGTTTGGGTGAGTTCAAAATGTTAAAACGTTTAAAATGAGTCCAAACACGATGGGGTTATCTTTAAAAACAACCAAAATACGACTATTTTTAGTTAAGCGATCGTCGATTGTTTTTTTAGTACATTTCGAGTTATATCTCGATTGTTTTTCGAGATAACCTAATCGAGTTTGGTGTCGTTTAAAAGGATTTTTTATTCTCTTTCAAATGGAATTTAAATCGAACGAAAATAAAGTTAGGGAATTATTTTCCAATGCACAATAAAAAGTTCAATTTGAAAATAAAAATAAAAATCGTGAGTCTATGTTATTAGTATTATTTTGTGAAATAAATCTGCAGATTTATTAAGGTCTTGTATTTTTTTTGTATTCGTTAAAGTTTGTTATCAAATTTTTTTTGGGTATCAATTTTTTTTGATTACCTGTTGGTCGGTGAGCATTGTGTACGATGTGGCATTGTCTAACAGTGAAGAACAGGCATCTAGCAACAAATTACAACAACATGTAGCTGTCATTTCTTGGACTACGGATTGGTTTTTGTTTTTCTTTCTTTTATTTATTCGTTTTTCTTTGATTTTTGTGGTATTTCGAAGACTTCGAAGTGTTTTTATTTCTTACAACTTGGTGACAACAGCGCCCCCGCACGGCAGTCCACGAATGACAGCGTTTCGATTTTTTTTTGACGATAGAGATAGAATAGAGACACTAGCAAATGGCATTCAAGATGTTCGACAGAGGTGCAATCCGAGAATAATTGAAAATCAAACAAAAAATGAACCGAGAATAGAAAAATGAAGAATTAAAAATGAAATAAAACAATTTGTTTTGGAAATAAAAAGTAATAATGAAGAACATTGAACAACGAAAGCTCCGCCCCCACCACCAGTTTATTTTTTACAACTTAATCGACCGGAAATTAGAAAAAATTAACGCGACTGCGCGCGCGCCCCCCACTTTGTCATAAGTCGTAAGAAATAAACTGTCGAAACGTTTTTTTTTTTTATTTTAAAGATATTTCATAATTTTTCCATTGTTACGACCCTAATTTTGTTTCTTTACATTCATAAATTCATAATTTTATAACTTAGGGACGCAAACAATCGAAAAATTACGATTCGCTCGGACGACACATAGAAAAACATTAAGCGTGTGATTATTTTCCTGAAAGATTCCGAATTATTTTATTCTCATTTCTTTAATTGGACCGTATTATACATCACTTGATTAAGCGACATTTTATCGGTTTTAGAGATTTTTATGCTGTCTGGAAGGTAAAGGTGTAACTTATCGTAGAAAAAATGCAGAATACCGTAAGACTTATTTGTTTTAAAGGATAAAGCTAAGCGACTTTATTTTATATAGAATTTAAATCAAATTAATTTCGGCTATCTTTAGAGACTCTACAAATAGATTAACATGTCAAAATTGAATTTAATTATTTTTTGATAGATGTTATAATCTTAATAAGCAAGAAATATGCTTTAATTTGATACTAAACACGACCTATTTAGGTTGAAGAATGAAAAAGTTGTTAGAAACTGTCAAATGTCATAATAAAATTAATTGATAAATATTGAAATAATATTAACAAGAATCAAGAATGCTTTAATTTAATACCAAACATGACCTATTAAAGTTAAAAACTGAAAAAGTTAGGTTAGAAAGTGTCAGATGTCAAAATTGAATTTAATTATTTTATGATAAATGTTGTTATAATATTAATAAGCAAGAAATATGGTTTAATTTGATACTAAATACGACCTATTTAGGTTGAAGAATGAAAAAGTTGTTAGAAACTGTCAAATGTCAAAATAAAATTAATTGATAAATATTGAAATAATATTAACAAGAATCAAGAATGCTTTAATTTAATACCAAACATGACCTGTTAAAGTTAAAAACTGAAAAAGTTAGGTTAGACACTGTCAAATGTCAAAATCGAATTTTATTATTTTTTGATAAAAGTTGAAATGATCGCAATAAGAATCAAAAAGCTTTTAATTTAATACCAAACATGGCCTATTTAGGTTAAAGAATGGATAAATTAGGTTAAAATCTGTCAAATGTCAAAATCGAATTTAATTATTTTATAATAAGTGTTGGAATAATCGTAATAAGAATCAAAAAACCTTTAATTTAATACCAAACATGACTTATTTAGGTTAAAAAATGAAAAAGTTAGGTTAGAAACTGTCATATGTCAAAAACGAATTTAATTATTTTATGATAAATATTAAAATAACGGTAATAAGAATCAAAAAGCATTTGATGTGGTACCAGACATGACCTATTTCGGTTAAAAAATGAAAAAAGTTAGGTTAGAATCTGTCAAATGTCAAAATCGAATTGAATTATTTTTTGATAAAACTTGAAATGGTCGTAATAAGAATCAAAAAGCATTTGATTTGATGCCAGACATGACCTATTTAGGTTAAAAAATGAAAAAGTTAGGTTAGAAACTGTCAAATGTCAAAATCGAATTTAATTATTTTATGATAAATATTACAATAACGGTAATAAGAATAAAAAAGCATTTGATTTGATACCAGACATAACTTATTTAGATTAAAAAATGAAAAAGTTAGGTTAGAAACTGTCAAATGTCAAAAACGAATTGAATTATTTTATGATAAAAGTTGAAATGATCGCAATAAGAATCAAAAAGCTGTTAATTTAATACCAAACATGACTTATTTAGGTTAAAAAATGAAAGAGTTAGGTTAGAAACTGTCAAATGTCAAAAACATATTTAATTATTTTATGATAAATATTAAAATAACGGTGATAAGAATCAAAAAGCATTTCATTTGATACCAGACATGACCTATTTAGGGTAAAAAATGAAAAAGTTAGGTTAGAAACTGTCAAATGTCAAAAACGAATTTAATTATTTTATGATAAATATTAAAATAACGGTAATAAGAATCAAAAAGCATTTGATTTGATACCAGACATGACCTATTTAGGTTAAAAAATGAAAAAGTTAGGTTAGAAACTGTCAAATGTCAAAATCGAATTTAATTATTTTTTGATAAAAGTTGAAATGATCGCAATAAGAATCAAAAAGCTGTTAATTTAATACCAAACATGACTTATTTAGGTTAAAAAATGAAAGAGTTAGGTTAGAAACTGTCAAATGTCAAAAACATATTTAATTATTTTATGATAAATATTAAAATAACGGTGATAAGAATCAAAAAGCATTTGATTTGATACCAGACATAACCTATTTAGGGTAAAAAATGAAAAAGTTAGGTTAGAAACTGTCAAATGTCAAAATCGAATTTAATTATTTTTTGATAAAAATTGAAATGATCGTAATAAGAATCAAAAAGCATTTAATTTGATACCGAACACAACTAATTTCGGATAAAAATCAAAAAGGTGAGGTTAGGTATCAACAAAAAATCCGCCATTTTGTTTTATTTTGACGTAATTTTTATGTTATCGTAAATAGGTCGAGTTTGGACTCATTTTAAACGATTTTAAATTTTCTTTACGATGCAATAGGTTAGAAACGAAAATTTGTTAGGTTAAGAATCAACAAAGCTGTCAAACGTCAAAATATGACATTAACTGTCAAAAATATGACACTTTACACATTAAATTTCNGTTAGAATCTGTCAAATGTCAAAATCGAATTTAATTATTTTTTGATAAAAGTTGAAATGATCGCAATAAGAATCAAAAAGCTGTTAATTTAATACCAAACATGACGTATTTAGGTTAAAAAATAAAATGTTAGGTTAAGAATTCAAAAAAAAAACCCGCCATTTTGTTTTTTTTGACGTAATTTCAATATTTTCGTAAATATGTCGAGTTTGGATTCGTTTTAAAGGATTTTTAATTTCCTTTATGATGCAATTGGTTAAAATCGATTTTAAAATATTAAAAAATTAATAACCAATTTTTTTTATTAAAAATTTCTTTTTTAAATTTTTTTATTAAATTTTTAATCTTTATTAAAATCGATTTAATTTGATACCGAACACAACTAATTTCCGATAAAAATCAAAAAGGTGAGGTTAGGTGTCAACAAAAAATCCGCCATTTTGTTTTATTTTGACGTCATTTTTATGTTATCGTAAATAGGTCGAGTTTGGACTCATTTTAAACGATTTTAAATTTACGATGCAATAGGTTAGGAACGAAAATTTGTTAGGTTAAGAATCAACAAAGCTGTCAAACGTCAAAATATGACATTAACTGTCAAAAATATGACACTTTACACATTAAATTTCGAATGTATTAATTTTTAGTCTTCAAACGCACGGCTAAACCCGATACTTTCTAGTTCTAGGTCTTGTTTAGTTTTAGACACTAGACCTAGAACTAGAATCTAGGCACCTAGACCTAGTATCTAGGTCTAGGAATGATTCTAGTTCTAGGTCTAGCATTAATTTTAGTGGCAGTAGTAAGTAGTGCTAGTTAGTATAAGATTAACATGTTGCGTATTTTTATTGAACAAAAACTAGAACTAACACTAGACCTAGAACTGGAAAGTCATTTATCTTTAAAATCCAAAAAGTTCGATCTTGCAACTATTAATTTTGACATATATGTCAACTGTATAAAAAATTCTTTGAAATGAGTCCAAACTCGACATATTTAACTTTGATATTAGTGGAGATACAATCACTTCCGGTTTGAAACGTCAACGTCAATTTTGACATATTTGTCATCTTCATTAAAAAACCTTTAAAATGAGTCCAAACATGACGCACTTATCTCAAAAAACAAAAAAGTTAGATTAAAAAACATTAAACCCGAAGTTAGCAACAATGAAGATAGCAATTTAATTTTTAAATATTAATACCAACCTTAATTTTTTATTTTTTTTTATTATATTTTTGTTTTTGTGACAAATATTAAGACATTTTATAAAAATTAAGAATATGTCAAAATGACATTGACATTTCAAACCGGAAGTTGCTTATATCTCGAGTAATATTGGAATTAAACGTATCATGTTTGGACTCATTTTAAAGGATTTTTCACGACGATTACAAATATGTCAAAATTGACGTTGACATTCTTAACCGGAAGTTGACCATAACTTCATTAATATTGAAGATAAATATGTCGTGTTTGTACTCATTTTAAAGGATTTTTAATGAAGATTACAAATATGTCAAAATTGAGGTTGACATTTTAAACCTGAAGTTAGTTATCATATAATAGAAGTTTTATAATTGACGTTAATCTAGTGTTTAGTCGTGAAAAAAACTTTCAGTTGTCAATGTCAACTTTAATTTTATTATTATATTCGTAATCTTCATAAAATAACCTTTAAAGTGAGTCCAAACTTGACGCATTTATCTCAAAAAACCAAAAAGTTCGAACTTTCAACTTTTAATTTTGACATATTTGTCAACTTCATAAAAAATCCTTTAAAATGAGTCCAAACTCGACATATTTAACTTTAATATTAATGGAAATACAATCACTTCCGGTTTGAAACGTCAACGTCAATTTTGACATATTTGTCATCTTCATTAAAAAACCTTTAAAATGAGTCCAAACATGACGCACTTATCTCAAAAAACAAAAAAGTTAGAATAAAAAACATTAAACCCGAAGTTAGCAACAATGAAGATAGCAATTTAATTTTTAAATATTAATACCAACCTTAATTTTTTTTTTTTTTTATTATATTTTTGTTTTTGTGACAAATATTAAGACATTTTATAAAAATTAAGAATATGTCAAAATGACATTGACATTTCAAACCGGAAGTTGCTTATATCTCGAGTAATATTGGAATTAAACGTATCATGTTTGGACTCATTTTAAAGGATTTTTCACGACGATTACAAATATGTCAAAATTGACGTTGACATTCTTAACCGGAAGTTGACCATAACTTCATTAATATTGAAGATAAATATGTCGTGTTTGTACTCATTTTAAAGGATTTTTAATGAAGATTACAAATATGTCAAAATTGAGGTTGATATTTAACGTGTTTTTTTCAAACTTTATCCAGTGGCGTATCCAAAGAGCATCAAACTTTCATTTATAAATTTATCAATTGGTAGGATAAATTATTGTCCTAATAATTTTATAAATTCTAGAATGCATTTTTTCTATATCTTTGCCAAGTTTTAATAAGTCTTTAAAGTATAAAACAATAAATATAATGTAATCTTTTAAATTAATCAGAGGACGTAGAAACAATATGCTTGATAAATGATACTATGATACAAGTATGTAGTATTTTGTAACAAAAGAAAAAGAAATATTAAGAAACTTGTTTGCAAAATGGATAAGATGACAGATATTAATCTATTTGTAAAGTGTTTGAAGATGGCCAAGGGTCGAAACTGGTTAGACTTAAATTCTATATAAAATTGAAACCAATTTAAAGTACAAAATCAAACTCTAAATTATTTACTCATCATTTTGACTCTAGTATTTGTGATTAAATTTATGCCACAACTTACAGAAACACCCTGTATAATCTTATGATAGCTGTCATCAGCCTGTTTAAGCCTATTCTGAGAAGTCTTATATTTTTAAAGAGATGAATTTTCTCAACATTATTTATTTGTCGCTTAGTCAAGTGATGTAATTAGTCCAATTAATCTTAATAAAACATTTTTTACCTGTTTTCCTAGATCGCCCGGTGTTTTCTCTTGGTGGAGGAGGTGGACCTCGAGCTCCAGGTCCATGTCCTCTCCCTCGTTGACCCCGACTCATCCCTTGTTGCGAGGGTTGCCCCCCTCCGTATTGATCAGGCGCGTCCGTTAAGAAATTCGATGGAACCAAACCGCGAACTCCATCGATTTCCGCCACATAAAACCCATCGTCGTCCATTTCGCCGTAAACGTTGATGATTTGACCCGTTGTGAAGGACAATTCCACCTGCAGTTGTTCGAAAAAGAAAAAAAAATCGGGTAGAGAAGTCTTTTACGACCCCAAAATTTTTTTTATTAATAAATATATTAGTTTCTCACATCTGCATCGACGTTCGGGCTCAATTCTTGCGGATCGTAATCGTACAAAGCAATCATTTTCCTCATCGGGCTATTATTGTAGATGTCGCCCCAACGATCTCGCACCAATTGATTTTGATCCACCTCCATCACCATATTGTGAGGAACATAACCTCTTCTCCCTCGTAATTCGCCCCAATAAAATCCATCGGAATCTTTATCTCCCCAAACTTTAATCGTATCGCCTTCATTAAACGGTAACTCCTCTTCGCAAGCATCGGGATTCGGCGACATCGTAGCTGGGTCATAATCGAAAAGGGCTACGAATGATCGCGCCCTCTTTTGCGCGGTAGGCAAATTATTCGGGTTTTGAGAGCCCATCCCCATATTTATGTTGCGCATTTGTTGTTGTTGATGCTGTTGATGTTGTTGGTGTTGGCGTAGTCCTTGGCCTCTTTGAACTTGTTGAGCTAAAATTAATTTTGTTATTACAAATTCTTTTTAATTATAATTTAAAATTACTAATAAAATTCTAATCTAAGGAATGAGATCTAATTTAATTTCTAACCTTGCTGATAATACTGTTGTTGTTGTTGTTGCTGTTGCGATTGATTTTCTTGTCTTTGTTGAATTTGTCTCTGCTGCTGTTGTTGTTGTTGATTCTGTTGTTGTTGCCTGTATTGTTGTTGGACGTTGACCTGACGATTACGCCTGTCGAGGAGTTCATCCTCGGATAAATTAGCCTCATAGCTATCTTTAGTTATCTCTGGAACGGGACGATGCGCTGTTTTTTTTTGTTGTTGATGCAGGTTATTTTTTTGGCGTTTTAATTGCAGCGTAATGATTGATGTGGACGATGTGGTGCGATATTATTTTTATTTTGAGGTGAATATAAGAAAAGAAAGAGAGAGAAAGCGCTTGTTGAGGTTTTCGTTGAAACATTTTCTTGTCCATTTAATTAATTTTTTTTTACTGCTGACAATCACACACAGAGGGAGATCTACTTTTGGAAGCTACATTAATCTATCTTTTTTAATTAATACTACTTCGATTATTATTTTAACTAATCTAAATGATTTTACTTTAAACATGCTAAAATCAACCTCGTTTGAATTCGAATGAGCGACGACAGCAACAAACTTACCAAAAACAAATAATAAATATAAAAGCCAATATCTTCGTTGTCTTTAGTGATAAAATACTCCACTAGAAAGCGTGATCCACTAAATATATAAGAAAATTACGACTCACTTAAAACGATTTTTAATGAAGATTACAAATGTCAAAATTGAGGTTGACATTTTAAACCTGAAGTTAGTTATCATATGATGTATTCTTTATTAAAAAACCTTTAAAATGTGTTATTAAATTCGTTATTTTTTTCAGATTACAAAAACATAGGGTTTGAGAGTCTATTTTTTATTGTTTTAGAATAAAGCTAAAAATAAACTTTTTTTTTAGTGTCATCAAAGAAATTAAATTTACAGTTTCCTGTAAATTATAACTAAAAATTAAAAAAACATATTTCTGGTGTTTGAAACAAATACATTTGTTGAACTATTTAATTTATATTTGTTTTACACAAAAGTTGGAATAGATTGCATTATTTCATATTTTTTATTAATATTTAATATTATTGACTTAAATGACTTAAAAAATTTTTGATAGATGGCGCTCATATATATATTTTTTTTATTTTTTAAATTCAAATAAACATATAGTTCATTTTTTTTCTATAATACCTGTCAAATTGTTGTAAAGTTGGCTAAATTAACAGGGAGTTTTGTTATTAATTATTATGATGTTTTGAAATAGTGCATAAAAAATGTGGTGGGGTATTTATTTGCCATTTATTTACCTAGAAAAGGTGTTTTGTTGTATTTAATTACTATGTAGCACGTTTTTACAATAAATATGTACTTGGTTAAAATCGTATTTATCTAAAAATTTATTAGTATTTTAACCTCAACTATTTAGATACTGAAAATGTTACTAAAAAATCAGAAAAACAACATAAATTTTATAAGGGTCCTAGATAATACCAACACAAACCCTAAAAAATTTACATTGACAAGTATTATATCAAAAATTTTCTGAAGTGTCAAATTAAAAATCCTGTTTTTTAAGATGGATTACGAAAATTACGAAATGTTTAACATCTTAGAATGTTACATATTAGAAAATAAAGTAAATTTTATATAAATTTTTAGTAGAATAATTACAGGAAACTGTAAATTTAATTTCTTTCACGACACTAAAAAAAAGTTTATTTTTAGCTTTATTCTAAAACAATAAGAAATAGACCTATATAATCCCATATTTTTGTAATCAGAAAAAAAATAACGAATTTAATAAGCGAATAATCAGTGGTTGTTTCAATTAAAAAAAACGAAAATTGTCATAATATCTCAAAATCTAAAACCGAAATTTTTTTTTTGATTACGTCATCAAATTCTCTGTAAAAAAGTGTCCATATAATGTCTTACGATTAGTTCTAATACTTCACCTATAATAATAACCAAGATAATTGCACTTGCTGCTTTTAAGATATTTCCAATTTTGGCCTCTAGAAAAACAAAAGACGATAGCGCTTTGAGGTTTTCTATATCGGAATTTATTTAAAAAAAGAGATCGAAACATGTAAGCTACTTTTTTTCTAACTCTTATAGTTTTCGAGATAGCCTATTCGGACATCGAATTTGAACCACCCTGTACTTGTAGTATACAGGGTGTATTTGAATGATGTGTCCAAAATTTAGGGGGTGATTCTTTAGTGAATTTTAAGGGTACTTTAATATATAAACCATGGGCGACTTCGCCTCCCCTTAGGAACTACGCCCCTCCAAAAATGTCGAAAAATTTTGGTTTAATTTTTTTTTCTCAAAAACCATAAACGCTAGGAAAATGAAATTTGGGGAATATGTTTAACTCATAATAAGGCACGATTTGATCCTATTTGTACTTCCAACCTACCCTTTAACTACTAAACGCAACCACCCCCGTTTAATTTATGCCTAGATTTTTTTATAAAGATGATAAATCCATTGGAAAAATTTCAGTTAGACTTAGTACTAGATCCTAATAAATGCAAACTTCCATAGCCAGCTATAAAGCAGCGCTTTACAGTACAATGTTGCATATTTTATTTTTTTACGCTAAAACTATTATCTTTAAGGAAAAAACTAAAGAGACAAAAAAGTACCAATAATGAATAACATTTATATAACCCATATCTTTTTATGTTAATATTCCATGGCGTTAAAAAGTTGTTATAAAAAATCAAAGGGATTGTGAATTTTATCCCCTTTGGATGAAATTTTTGGCTCAACTTTGACAGCTCATAGGTCGTATATTTATACCATATATATACTATCTTCTATATCGCTGACTAAGGCAGCAAAAGAGTGTAAACACTAGAGTGCAGATATATACATATATATCTGTCTTTGTCGTACCCCCGTCGACTCAAGAGACATGTGTGAACACGTGATGAGTACGCTTTTATCTTATTGGACGGTGAATTAAAAATTAATAGCAGCTNTCATATTTTTTATAAATATTTAATATTATTATTGACTTAAATGACTTAAAAAAATTTTGATAGATGGCGCTCATATATATATTTTTTTATTTTTTAAATTCAAATAAACATATAGTTCATTTTTTTTTCTATAATACCTGTCAAATTGTTATAAAGTTGGCTAAATTAACAGGGAGTTTTGTTATATGATGTTTTGAAATAAATATGTCACACTGACGTTTAAGCTTTCGTTATTCAAAAGGAAAAGGTGCATAAAAAATGTTGTGGGGTGTTTATTTGCCATTTATTTACCTAGAAAAGGTGTTTTGTTCTATTTAATTACTTCGTAGCACGCTTTTACAATGAATATGTACTTCGTTAAAAATAAACTTTTTTTTAGTGTCGTCAAAGAAATTAAATTTACAGTTTCCTGTAAATTATAACTAAAAATTAAAAAACATATTTCTGATATTTGAAACAAATACATTTGTTGAACTATTTAATTTATATTTGTTTTACACAAAAGTTGAAATAGATTGCATTATTTCACATTTTTTATTAATATTTACAAATATGTCACAATGACGTTTAGGCTTTCGTTATTCAAAAAGAAAAGGTGCATAAAAATGTTGTGGGGTGTTTATTTGCCATTTATTTACCTAGAAAAGGTGTTTTGTTGTATTTAATTACTATGTAGCACGTTTTTACAATAAATATGTACTTTGTTAAAACCGTATTTATCTAACAATTTATTAGTACTTTAACCTCAACTATTTTAAATCAGGAAAACAACATAACTTTTATAAGGATCCTAGATAATACCAACAGAAACCCTAAAAAAATTACATTGACAAAAATTTTCTGAAGTGTCAAATTAAAAATCCTGTTTTTTAAGATGGATTATGAAAATTACGAAAAGTTTAACATGTTAGAATGTTACATATTAGAAAATAAAGTAAATTTTATATAAATTATTAGTAGAATAATTACAGGAAACTGTAAATTTAATTTCTTTTACGACACTAAAAAAAAGTTTATTTTTAGCTTTATTCTAAAACAATAAGAAATAGACCTATCTAGCCCCATATTTTTGTAATCAGAAGAAAATAACAAATTTAATAAGCGAATAATCAGTGGTTGTTTCAATTTAAAAAAACGAAAATTGTCATAATATCTCAAAATCTAAAACCTTTTTTTGATTACGTCATCAAATTCTCTGTAAAAAAGTGTCCATATAATGTCTTAGTTATAAGTTATAATACTCCACCTATAATAATAACCAAGATTGCACTTGCTGCTTTTAAGATATTTTCAATTTTGGCCTCCAGGGGAAAAACAAAAGTCGATAGCGTATTGAGGTTTTCGACATCAGAATTTATTTAAAAAAAGATCGAAACATGTAAGCTACTTTTTTTCTAACTCTTATAGTTTCCGAGATAGCCTATTCGGACATCGAATTTGAACCACCCTGTACTTGTAGTATACAGGGTGTATTTGAATGATGTGCCCAAAATTTAGGGGTGATTCTTTAGTGAATTTTAAGGGTACTTTAATATATAAACCATGGGCGACTTCGGCTCCTCTAAGGAACTACACCCCTCCAAAAACGGCAAAAAATTATGGTTTAATTTTTTTTTCTCAAAAACCATTAACGCTAGGAAAATAAAATTTGGGGAATATGTTTAACTCATAATAAGGCACGATTTGACCCTATTTGTATTTTCAACCTACCCTTTAACTACTAAACGCAACCACCCCCGTTTAATTTATGCCTAGATTTTTTTATAAAGATTATAAATACATTGGAAAAATTTCAGTTAGACTTAGTACTAGGCAGGCAAGTACTACGTCCTAGTAAAGTTTACCGATTAAAAACTGAACCAGCCTGTATAAGTCAATTATAAGCGAGTTTCGCAGTTTTTGTGGGAGAAAATACTTATACAAAAATGTGATCTACTAATGATATATACCACTTTATAGAGCGGAAAATTTCCTATGGGTTCTATGTAGTTTTAGAGTTTTGTCTGTGTCATATAAGAAAGTTACGACGCCGTAAACATCTACAGGTGTCTCTGCGAGACCGGTCATTAGACGTTTCTGGGGTTCCGGGAAAATAAAAATTTGAGAATTCAGATTTAAGTATTATAAATTGCGTTCTCTTCGACTAAAATATTTTCAGATTTCTAACACTTCCGGTTATACCGGAAGTAGCTACCTATTTTATTTTTTTGAATGCAACACCCTGTATATTTTTACAAGTTTGGATTTGTCTGCTTTCAAGGCTTATAAATATCTTTACTTTCTGCAATTTGATTCAGCCGTTCCCGAGTTATTCGAATTTTTCTCAATATTTTTCCAATCCAACCCAATAATTATTATACATCATTTTAAAGAGAAAGCTTTGAGCTTTAATATAGAGTAAGTCTCATTCCTTAATTTCAATAAATACGGCTTCCAAGAATTTTTTAATTAGTATCTTTTTTGACACTTTTAGGTTATACGAAAATGTAAGCTTTATTTCAACATTTTTTTTTTCAATATTTTTTCAATCCAAACCAACAATTATTATACATCATTGTAAAGAGAAAGCTTTGAGCTTTAATTTAGAATAAGTCTCATTCCTTAATTTCAATAAATACAGCTTCCAGGAATTTTTAAATTAGTATCTTTTTTGACAGTTTTAGGTTATACGAAAATGTAAGTTTTATTTCAACATTTTTTTTCTCAATATTTTTCCAATCCAACCTAACAATTATTATACATCATTGTAAAGAGAAAGCTTTGAGCTTTAATTTAGAATAAGTCTCATTCCTTAATTTCAATAAATACGGCTTTTGCTCAATATATTTTTTCTCTATATTCTATCAGATTTTCGTCTGTAAATACACGTTCACGAAAATGTAGCGCAAGTTCAAAAGAAAGAGGAAGTTGTGAAAATTGTACTGTCAAAGCTAGACCCCTCTCAAACTGTACTGCGTACAATGTTTATTTATGTTGTAATGAAAGAAAGAACTGTTTTTCTGAATATCATAATGTGATTTAGATAAAGCAAGTGTTACTTATTTTCCAGCAGATTGTTGCTATCGTCGTACGGATTTTGATTTTGAATTTTATAATTAACGATTTTAATTTTAATCAAAAGAGATTGTTTGATCATTAATAAAACGACACAACAACACAACATAACCTTACCTATCGATGGGATACCACTTTGTTGGCGATGCGGCGTTGTCGGAAATATTTCTTTATCGCTCAAATTTTCATCATGTTCAATAATCTAAAACAAAATTAATTAACACAATTTTTGTTTTAAACAAACCAACTTTACCTGTTGATTTTGTTGCATCCCAACTTGATTTCGAACGTTTTGTCTCATATGAGTCGGTAAAACGCTCGAATGCGGTTGCTGCCTACCTTTGTTAGCCCCACCTCGTAAAACGCTAAAAGGAATCGGAGTCGGAATCGAATCCGTCGATTGGCTATCCCGCGATTTCGTCCGAACAGTAACATGTTTCGGATTTAACCCCAACAGTTTCGAAATATCAATCAAAGCGTGATCCCCCGTGGGGGAATCAACATCCGTTACTTTTTTCCCATCCGCATAAACAGCGTATCCGGTGATATTCGATCCGGGGTGATGCGGCGTAATCACCGGATGCCAAGTGACCAACAACGTCCCGTCTTGGGGCCCGGCTTCAACCAAAATGTCACTCGGTGGATCCGGAAGTCCTTTGGGCAATGTTCTAAAATCGGTGTGAGCCGCAGCTGGCATCGGAAGATCCTCGGCTAAATTCGCGACGTTTTGAGCGGCGCGATGGTGTTTTGCTCGAACGGTCACCCTGTATTGGGTATTCGGAGCTAATCCGGTTATTGTATGGCGGTAAACCCCCGGCTTAACTGTGCGTACTTCAACGTTGTTCACGCAAACGACGTGTTGATGGTTTGAATTTGCTGGGAGCCAACTTATTATAGCTTGGGTTGATGTTATGTTGCTGGCACGAACCGCGCTGGGGCCTAACTGATGAGTGTCTTTGCCAATGATCATTGTACAGGCTGCATCGCGAGATGTGCGCCGATTTACCGTTACAGAACGGACACTTATACGATGCGGCTAAAAGAAATTTAAAAAATTAATTTTTTAATAAAAATAAAATAGCTTAATTTGTGAAATATCGAAAATATGTAATATTGTGTATTTTTAACGATAAAACCATCCAGTCTGGACTTATCTTGTTGAGGTTTTGAGTTAAAATTAGTAATCTACATAAAAAATGCTTTAAAATGATACCAAACACGATGGGTTTATCTTAAAAGTAGCCAAGATCGATTTTTTTCAATATGGCGGCTAAGTTAACTAGAGTTTTTAGGTTATTTTTTGATTTTTAAAATTAACCCAGTTGTGTTGGTACTCATTTTAAAGAATATTTCGTTTCCAATAAGAATACATCAACAAAAAAATGTTTTGACTTTTATAAGTTAGGTTATGTTGTATTATTAGGTTAAAAAAACAAAATTTGTTGGAAATTTAATATAAAAATTCGTAATCTACACAANATGGTGTATTATGCCTTATTTTACATTAAACATTTTATTGTGCGACTAATTTACGGTTTTGTTAAAGTATTTTCAAAATACCTGACAATTTTATCACATCATTCTTACGAAAAGTGGTTACATGTTAACCCCCGTAACTTCGCTGGGGATGATCTAGAGCGAATGGGAAAAAACCCTTAACTAATATTTTTGAACGTGCTGGAAGTATACTTAATGCCGCCAAAATCGATAGGGTGGTTTTTAAATAATTCCAAAAAAATAGGGGTAGTTCGCCCTTCTTAACCCTCTGGTATATGTGTGATACATCAAAAGAAAGCTCTTTTAAAATGAATATCAGTTACAATTTACCAAATTTTGATAGCACTTTTCATTTTTAAAATATAAGTGAAAACGTACTTTTTCTCCAAACTTTCAACCCCTATAACTCGCCCCAGGGGCTTTTACCGCACGTATAAAAAAATGTACGAACCTTATTTTGGCCCATTCTATGACTGTACCAAATTGCATCGAAATCGGTGAGACACAGTTGTGACACTTCCCTTGTAAGTTATCTAGCGTTTTTAGGTTATCTTTTTGATTTTCAAAGTTAACCCGGTTGTGTTGGTACTCATTTTAAAGCGCATATTTCGTTTTCAATAAGAAAATATCAATAAAACAATGTTTTGACATTTATAAGTTAGGTTATGTTGTGTTAGGTTGGGTTAGAAAAGCATAATTTTTTAAAATTTAATATAAAAATTCGTAATCTACACAAAAAAATGCTTTGAAATGATACCAAACATGATGACTTTATCTAAAAAGTAGGTAAGATCGATGTTTTTCAAAATGGCGGCTAAGTTATCTAGGTTGGTTAGGTTATCTTTTTGATTTTTAAAGTTAATCCAGTTGTGTTTGTACTCATTTTAAAGGAAAATTAATTTTTTATAAGAAAAATGAATAAAAAAAATTTTTTGATTTTTATAAGTTAGGTTATGTTGTGTTAGGTTGGGTTGAAAAAACATTATTTTTTTGAAAGTTAGTATAAAAGTACGTAATCTCCACAAAAAATGCTTGAAAATGATACCAAACACGACGAGCTTATCTAAAAAGTAGCCAAGATCGTTTTTTTTCAATATGGCTGCTACGGTATCTAGATTTTGTAGGTTATCTTTTTGATTTTTAAAGTTAACCCAGTTGTGTTTGTACTCATTTTAAAGGAAATTTCATTTTTTATAAGAAAACATCAATAAAAAAATGTTTTGACTTTTATAAGTTAGGTTATGTTGTTTTAGGTTGGGTTAGAAAAACGTAATTGTTGGACATTTAATATAAAAATTCGTAATCTACACAAAAAATGCTTTAGAATGATACCAAACACAATGATGTTATCTAAAAGGTAGATTTTTTCAATATGGCGGATAAGTTATCTAGATCTTTAGGTTATCTTTTTGATTTTTAAAGTTAAGCCTATCGTGTTTGTACTCATTTGAAAACATATTTAATTTCCTATAAAAAAATATCAATAAAAATTTTTGTGATTTTGACAGGTTAGGTTATGTTGTGATATAGGTTGCGTTAAAAAAACATTATTTTTTGAAATTGTACATAAAAAATCAAAATCTATATTAAAAATGCTTTAAAATGATACCAAACACAATGTTATCTAAAAGGTAGATTTTTTTCAATATGGCGGATAAGTTATCTAGATCTTTAGGTTATCTTTTTGATTTTTCAAGTTAAGCCTATCGAGTTTGTACTCATTTCAAAGGATATTTAATTTCCTATAAGAAAACATCAACATATTTTTTTTTATTTTGACAGGTTATGTTATGTTGTGATAGGTTGCGTTAAAAAAACATTATTTTTTGAAATTGTACATAGAAAATCAAAATGTATATTAAAAATGCTTTAAAATGATACCAAACACGATGAGTTATCAAAAAAGTAGCCAAAATTGATTTTTTTTTTTCAATATGGCGGCTAAGTTATCTAGGGTTTTAGGTTATCTTTTTGATTTTTAAAGTTAACCTTGTTCAGTTTGTACTCATTTCAAAGAATATTTAATTTCCTATAAGAAAATATCAATAAAAAAATGTTTTGACATTTACAGATTAGGTTATGTTGAGATAGGTTGCGTTAGAAAAACATTATATTTTGAAATTGTACATTAAAAATCAAAATCTATATTAGAAATGCTCTAAAATGATGCCAAACACGATGTGTTTATCAAAAAAAGTAGCCAAGATTGACTTTTTTTTCAATATGACGGCTAAGTTATCTAGGTTTTTAGGTTATCTTTTTGATTTTTAAAGCTAACCTTGTCGAGTTTGTACACATTTCAAAGGATATTTAATTTCCTATAAAAAAAACATCAATAAAAATTTTTGTAACTTTGACAGGTTAGATTATGTTGTGATAGGTTGCGTTAAAAAAACATTATTTTTTGAAATTATACATAAAAAATCAAAATCTACATTAAAAATGCTTTAAAATGATATCAAACACGATGAGTTTATCAAAAAGTAGCCAAAATTGATTTTTTTTTCAATATGGCGGCTAAGGTATCTAGGTTTTTAGGTTATCTTTTTGATTTTTAAAGCCAACCTTGTCGAGTTTGTACTCATTTCAAGGGATATTTAATTTCCTATAAGAAAACATCAATAATTTCTTTTTTGACTTTGACAGGTTAGGTTATGTTGTGATAGATTACGTTAGAAAAACATTATTTTTTGAAATAATACATAAAAATCAAAATCTATATTAAAAATGCTTTAAAATGATACCAAACACAATAGGTTTATCAAGAAAAGTAGAAAAGACTCATTTTTTTCAATATGGCGGCTAAGTTATGTAGGTTTTTGGTTATCTTTTTTATTTTTAAAGTTAACCTTGTTGTGTTTGTACTCATTCCAAAGGATATTTAATTTCCTATAAGAAAACATCAATAAAAAAAAATTTTATCTTTCACAGGTTAAGTTATGTTGTGATAGGTTGCGTTAGAAAAACATTATTTTTTGAAATAATACAAAAAAATGAAAATCTATATTAAAAATGCTTTAAAATGATACCAAACAGGACGAGTTTATCAAAAAAGTAGCAAAATTGATTTTTTTTTAATATGGCGGCTAAGTCATCTAGATTTTTAGGTTATCTTTTTGATTTTTAAAGTTAACCCTGTTGAGTTTGTACTCATTGCAAAGGATATTTAATTTCCTACAAGATAACATCAATAAAAAAAAATTTTATCTTTCACAGGTTAGGTTATGTTGTGATAGGTTGTGTTAGAAAAACATTATTTTTTGAAATAATACATAAAAATCTAAATCTATATTAAAAATGCTTTAAAATGATAAAAACACGACGAGTTTATAAAAAAAGTAACCAAAATTGATTTTTTTTCAATATGGCGGATAAGTTATCTAGGTTTTTAGGTTATCTTTTTAATTCTTAAAGTTAACCTTGTCGTGTTTGTACTCATTTCAAAGGATATTTAATTTTCTACAAAATAACACCAATAAAAAAAATTTTTATCTTTCACAGGTTAGGTTATGTTATGATAGGTTGCGTTAGAAAAACATTATTTTTTGAAATAATACATAAAAATCAAAATCTATATTAAAAATGCTTTAAAATGATACCAAACACGACGAGTTTATCAAAAAAGTAGCCAAAATTGATTTTTTTTTCAATATGGCGGCTAAGTCATCTAGATTTTTAGGTTATCTTTTTGATTTTTAAAGTTAACCCTGTTGAGTTTGTACTCATTTCAAAGGATATTTAATTTGCTACAAGATAACATCAATAAAAAAAAATTTTATCTTTCACAGGTTAGGTTATGTTGTGATAGGTTGTGTTAGAAAAACATTACTTTTTGAAATAATACATAAAAATCAAAATATATATTAAAAATGCTTTAAAATGATACCAAACACGACGAGTTATCAAAAAAATAGCCAAAATTGATTTTTTTTTCAATATGGCGGATAAATTATCTAGGTTTTTAGGTTATCTTTTTAATTTTTAAAGCTAACCTTATCGAGTTTGTACTCATTTCAAAGGATATTTAATTTCCTATAAGAAAACATCAATAAAATTTTTTTTTTACTTTTACAGATTAGGTTATGTTGTGTTAGGTTGGCTAAAAGTACATTATTTTTTGAAATTGTGTATACAAAGAGTTAATCCATATTAAGAATGATGTCAAACACCGTAAATTTATAAAAAAAAATCCAAGATCGATTTTTTTTTAATATGGCGTCTAAGTTATCTAGGTTTTTAGGTTATCTTTTTAATTTTTAAAGTTAACCTTGTCGTGTTTGTACTCATTTCAAAGGATATTTCATTCTCAACAAGGAAACGTCAATATTATCTTTTTTACGTTTAAGTTGTACTAGAAGAGGTTATAAAATTAATATATATTTTGAAATAAAAGTGGTGTTTTTATATTCGATGCGAATGAAATAATAAAATTACTTACGCGATTACTATCAACACCTTCAACTAAAGCCCTGGTTCGTTCGCTCGCTTTTATGGTAGTCTTTAAAACGCCATCGACGTAAACGTGATAACTTTCAATTTGATTACCGGGTCCAACATCGGGTTGAGTCCAACTAATAAGCACGCTCTTGTTAAGTTGCCGTTCGAGGGTTAATTGTTTCGGTGCCGGTACTAGTATTGAGAAGAAGAGATCTGTCAATCACCGAACAATGCATTTTTTCAAATAAGCCGTGTTTGTGCTAATCACTCTAACTAGTCAGCTCGGGCCGAAAAATTAATCAATTGATTATTAAACAAATCTTATTATTATTGTTTTTTGTACTCCACGAAGTTATCTATACTAATTATTGAGGAATTTGTATTTGTATTTAATTAAATAAATTAAAAAGCGACATGCAAAGCTAATTTATAAACATCATGCGCTAAGCTATTTTTTAACGATTTTAATTTATATATATAGAACAAAAAGGTGACTAGATTTTCTAAGTAACTAGCTTAAGTTTATTTGGAGCTGACTAATTATTTCTTTTGCGAATCAACATCAAACACAAATTTAAATAAAAATAACAACTATAAACAAAAAAGCCGTATGCAACTCAACAAAAGCTTTCTACAAATTACAACAAAATTTTTTCGATAATCTCACCTTGTTCTGTGTCATTGACGTCATCTTCTTGACCTTCTGAAACTTCTGCCAACTCGTTCAGACGTTGAACGTCAGCTGCGAAGGTTTCGGCATTGATTTCCTCTTCTCGTAACGTGCTCAAAACCGCCTGATGGAACTCTAATAGGTCATCACCTAATTGTTTGATTTTTTTTATATTAAAAAAATTTTTTTGTCGAAATCGGGGTTAAGTTTACCGATTAATCGTTGTGCAAAATGCGCCGGAACCAAACCGCGGCGACCATCCAATAATTCAGCGTCTAAATATCCCCCGACTGGTTCTCCCCAAACTAATAAATAATCGCCGGCTTGGACGCTTAATTCCTCATCCGCTTCCGGTTCGGGATCGTACGAAAATCTAAATTAAAAGAAAAATAATAATTAAAGTATTAACTTTTTAATGCAAAAAGCCGTTTTGAAAAATCGCTTTTAGTTTTAAAATAACAGCCGAATTAAGAGCATTAACAGACGTATATAAGCCGGAAAGATGCCAGTACTGATCATTTTCTGTGTAAGGCAACAAAAAAGCTTAAAGTTCCAAAAACACATACACCTCCAATTCGAAATAATAATGGAAATTGGACTAACAGCAATCAAGAAAAAGTTAATTTCTTTGTTCTGAAAGAAACTTTTACATCAGACAGTCCAACAACTATGCTAAATAGTGTCCTTAGCGTTAATTCAAAGTAATCAGCAGAGTAATATACCATGTGTAAGAATGACCTAATTAATGGAGAAACATTGAAACATCATAATGATACCAAAACCTGGTAAACCCCCCACAGATGTTACATCATATAGGCCAATATCTCAAATAAAGTCTACTCCGCCGTATTTCTGGATATTGCACAAGCTTTCGACAAAGTCTGATTAGATGGTTTAAACTACAAACCTCCTTGCGTGAAGTGTGCTTGATGGCTAATAAAACTAAACACAAATAAATCGTCATACATAAACTTTACTTATAAGAAAGTAAACTATGTCCCAGTACACATAAATGGCAATGCAATCTGCAAAATATCTTGAATGCCAAACTCAAATGGAAAGATGACGTCAAAAAAAAAAAGTGGAGAACTTGATATCAAATTTAGACACCTATATTGGCTTATTGGCAGAAAATCAACGCTATCACTCAGAAACAAGTTCATAATATACAAGCAAGATCCAGAACAAAGTACCAAGGCGCATAGTGAATGCAATGTTTTGGTCTTAAAACGGTAAAAAGCTGCAAAACATTATCTAGTTTTATTTGGTGTTAAAAATAAGTAACTATTGGATGACAGTTATCTAAATGACATCTTCCTAACCGAATAATATTAATCGAAAATTGTTAATAACGCTTATTTCGCTCACCTTTTATCGTTTTTGGATAATCGATTAGTTGATTAATCAAAAAAATCAAGAAATCCTTAAAAAAGCCACAACAATCAAATGATTTTTATAACGTGCTGTCAATCTACGAATTCTGCCGTCAATTTAAATAATAGCGACATCTATTGGATGACAGTTAAAATGTCTAAATGACATCTTCCTAACCGAAAAAAACTAATCGAAAACTATTAATAACGCTTATTTCGCTCACCTTTTATCGTTTTTGGATAATCGATTAGTTGATTAATCAAAAAAATCAAGAAATCCTTAAAAAAGCCACAACAATCAAATGATTTTTATAACGTGCTGTCAATCTACGAATTCTGCCGTCAATTTAAATAATAGCGACATCTATTGGATGACAGTTAAAATGTCTAAATGACATCTTCCTAACCGAAAAAAACTAATCGAAAACTATTAATAACGCTTATTTCGCTCACCTTTTATCGTTTTTGGATAATCGATTAGTTGATTAATCAAAAAAATCAAGAAATCCTTAAAAAAGCCACAACAATCAAATGATTTTTATAACGTGCTGTCAATCTACGAATTCTGCCGTCAATTTAAATAATAGCGACATCTATTGGATGACAGTTAAAATGTCTAAATGACATCTTCCTAACCGAAAAAAACTAATCGAAAACTATTAATAACGCTTATTTCGCTCACCTTTTATCGTTTTTGGATAATCGATTAGTTGATTAATCAAAAAAATCAAGAAATCCTTAAAAAAGCCACAACAATCAAATGATTTTTATAACGTGCTGTCAATCTACGAATTCTGCCGTCAATTTAAATAATAGCGACATCTATTGGATGACAGTTAAAATGTCTAAATGACATCTTCCTAACCGAAAAAAACTAATCGAAAACTATTAATAACGCTTATTTCGCTCACCTTTTATCGTTTTTGGATAATCGATTAGTTGATTAATCAAAAAAATCAAGAAATCCTTAAAAAAGCCACAACAATCAAATGATTTTTATAACGTGCTGTCAATCTACGAATTCTGCCGTCAATTTAAATAATAGCGACATCTATTGGATGACAGTTAAAATGTCTAAATGACATCTTCCTAACCGAAAAAAACTAATCGAAAACTATTAATAACGCTTATTTCGCTCACCTTTTATCGTTTTTGGATAATCGATTAGTTGATTAATCAAAAAAATCAAGAAATCCTTAAAAAAGCCACAACAATCAAATGATTTTTATAACGTGCTGTCAATCTACGAATTCTGCCGTCAATTTAAATAATAGCGACATCTATTGGATGACAGTTAAAATGTCTAAATGACATCTTCCTAACCGAAAAAAACTAATCGAAAACTATTAATAACGCTTATTTCGCTCACCTTTTATCGTTTTTGGATAATCGATTAGTTGATTAATCAAAAAAATCAAGAAATCCTTAAAAAAGCCACAACAATCAAATGATTTTTATAACGTGCTGTCAATCTACGAATTCTGCCGTCAATTTAAATAATAGCGACATCTATTGGATGACAGTTAAAATGTCTAAATGACATCTTCCTAACCGAAAAAAACTAATCGAAAACTATTAATAACGCTTATTTCGCTCACCTTTTATCGTTTTTGGATAATCGATTAGTTGATTAATCAAAAAAATCAAGAAATCCTTAAAAAAGCCACAACAATCAAATGATTTTTATAACGTGCTGTCAATCTACGAATTCTGCCGTCAATTTAAATAATAGCGACATCTATTGGATGACAGTTAAAATGTCTAAATGACATATTCCTAACCGAAAAAAACTAATCGAAAACTATTAATAACGCTTATTTCGCTCACCTTTTATCGTTTTTGGATAATCGATTAGTTGATTAATCAAAAAAATTAAAAAATCATTGAAGAAAGCACAATAATCAAATGATTATTATAACGTATCAATTTACGAGTTTTGCTATCAACTTAACTGATAGCGACATCTATTAGATGACACTTAAAATGTCTAAATGACATCTTCCTAACCGAAAAAAACTAATCGAAAACTATTAATAACGTTTATTTCGCTCACATTTTATCGTTTTTGGATAATCAATTAGTTGATTAATCAAAAACATCAAGAAATCCTTAAAAAAGCCACAACAATCAAATGATTTTTATAACGTGCTGTCAATCTACGAATTCTGCCGTCAATTTAAATAATAGCGACATCTATTGGATGA